GTCGTTTCAGAATTGACTCTCCACTGACCCGCCGAGGAAAGATTCCATCAATGAAATAAATGTGACACGTGTTCAGACGGCGTTTTTCACTCCGTCCTCCAATTTCCTCAGTAACCGTGAAGGAGAGAAAACATGACTCAACCGGAGCCGCAGCAATTTAGGAAAGTACATTCCCCTTCTGACTTGACTTCTTTATGGTCAAACGCTCAAGACGGGTAAGTTCACACGCACACTGTGCTCTGTTACTTCTGATTCACCGGGACAGAACTCAAGCGTTCAAACTAGTCGATGGGATTTCATTTGAGTCCGTGGCTTAATATGGGTGAGTGAAATAATTAGTATGCATGTAAACATATCCACTGATCATAAAACCAAATTAAGCTTAAAGTGTGACGGATGGTTGCATTAGGCAATGGGCTCTACTGTTACCCTTCACAAAGCCAGCAAATAGTTAACTCGCAACATTTTTTTTTTCCTCTGGTTAATGGCTCAGATTTTTCAGCTCTGAAATTCTCTAACGCAACCACCGATCCTCTCGCCGTGATGAGGGTCACGGCCTTGGGCTCCACCATTGTGCCGTCTCATTAGCTTTTATTCATGTAATGTATTGACCATTTGCCATTCACTGATTAGGGGCAATGGTCTGAGCTTGAACTTTGAATTAAGATCGTCAAATCATGTCTGCTCGGCGCCACTGCGGGGCTGAAAGTGGATCACCGGTGGCCAGATATCGTTCCCTCCTGCAGAGAATTCACTTCCATTGTCCCCTGTCAGTTGGTGCTCCGGGGCGCTGATTTGCAATGACGGATGGGGCGATGCCTGGAAGTGCAAAGCGTCACAAACAACTCATCAGCGCTTTCTGTCAGCTCGGGAAGAGGAGTGGCAGCTACGCTTCCTAAATCTGACGGCCAAAAACCAAATATCGGACGTCCATGTCCACAAAAGACTACTTAAAAAATGTGTCCCACTCAATTCATCAGCTACCAAAACTAGAATTTTGTCAGATTCATGTTTTATATGAATACATTTTAAGTACTCCAACATCTTTCTATGCAGCGGCAGGAAAGTTTCTCCCCACTTCAAATGAACCACTTCCAGGAGGAAACCCACTCTGACTATATCTTAATCATACGTAAAAAGCACAGTGACTCCTGTTACTACAAGTGACATTTCATGATAAGTTACTGGATGTGCTCAAGCTAGATGGAGAACGTCAGGCAACACTTCTCAACATCAGGTCTGATAGAAAATTAAAGTCTGGCACCGAGTAAAAATACAGCAAGACATGAGTGGCAGGTTGAAGTGGATACTTGACACGCACACAGAATCTGTGACAGAAATAATCTGCCAGACGTTTCCATCATCTCAATTCCCTTCGTGTACCACTTCTCCTCACAGAGCTCTGTTGACAATAACAGCCATCCAAGCCTAATGACTATCACAGGATAGCTCTTGTGGCTTTGTTCGTTGACACGGAAGAGACGAGGCAATAGCTCATCACTTGTCATGTCGGTAAAATGTTAGTGGTGGGGACAAGAGAGTGAGGGAAGGTAGGGAAAACTGCTGAGAGAGACACATTCTACATCCAACCTCCAACTTCTGCACAACGGGAAGGACGACGGGCGACTTCTTTGATCGGATCAGAGGTCAACATAACACTTTTGACAAGCAACATAATGAATTTTTTTTGTTTGGGTGTCAGAACATTATATACTTGCTGTTTGCAGAGAATTGGATGTATTCTTTCATTAAAGGTACGTGTCAGCAAGATGCACCTATGTTTTAAGAGGGAACCACTAAACTACTAAGTTCTGAGACGGAAACACGGACAACTCCCCGACCGGAAAACGCTGTGGTAGCGACCTGTCAATCACAAGGTACCTTCAGCCTAAAGCATTCCCTGCTTTATGTCTGTCTCTAAATGGACCATCATTTACTAAATGAACATCATGCTGCATCTAAGAATACTTGAAACTGGCGACTGAGAGCATAAACTCATGTTTACAATGTTTACTGAGGTAATAAATCAAGAGAGAAGTAGAGTCATTTTCTCACAGAACTCTATACAATCGGACTTCTTTTTGAGGAGTCGCCCCCTGATGGCCATTAGAGAGTATGCAGGTTGAAGACATTTCTGCATTGGCTTCACTTTTCAGACCAGGAGGTCTCCCCTTGGTCTCAACAATCTGACCAAAGGCTCTTCAACCCCATCTTCAACTGGACAACGGAACAGCCATAAACATGTTTGCCTTTAGATGTGTATGGACGACACAATGTGCAACCAGGTTTGTTTGAAGCATGCTGAGACCTTTGCAAGCACTGCGTCTCTTTGTTGCTATCGAATATTACTTGGATGTCCACTAGATGATGAACAGACGCATTAAGGTGCAATAGAAATATTCAACAAAGTTCACGTTTCAATTTCAAACAAATTCAATTGCCTCTGTAAAATGAGCACTTTCCGGTTAATAAACTCTGTCCTAGAACAAATGCCTTTTTTTTTTCCCGCCGACAGAAACCTGGCTGTTGGTGAATTGAATGCTCTGCAGTGTCAGGACAAGACTGCCCTCAAGAAATCGTTCCTGGGAAGGAGGAAGCAAAGGAGTAGGAGTAAGCAGAGGCATCACCTGATGGTGAAGGACATAGAAAAGGTTTTATCCGGGCAGCAGCTGAGTAGCCAGTGGCAACAGAGAAAAACAGACAGAAAAGTGAGGAAAGGTTGCCGAACCCGTCTTTCAAACTTTTTGCATTACAAAAAAAAAAGGGGCACGGCTTAAATCGAGACGTTAGCTGATGCAGGAAGCTACTCAAAATACCTTGCGAGGAGGACGCGGGGCATTCACGTAACGTCGGGGGGATTTAATTAACCAAATATCTGAATGCTTTGTGCTCTCTGCTCTTATCGAGAGGCTAATTATCACTATCAGCCTGCTCTGTTCGTCAGAAGGATTATTAGGCTAATCACAAAGCCTTCCCCTTTGGAGACAAGGTTTCCACTCTTCATCCGAACAAAGCCGATATTGTCCTCCAATGACACGGTGTCAGTGATGAAGCCAGTCGCTACAGTATTTGTGCCTCGTCATGCTCCAGCAAAGACATGGGTAACAGCGCGACTTTGAGCCATGTATATGTGGGTCTCTTTCAGTTGCTTACAAGCTTGACCTACACTAATTATTGCATCACATGCTTGAGGACCAGCTGACTAAATTATTGGATAATAATAATTGGATACTGTCTTTGATGTCCAACCCATTACAGGGGTTATTTTATGAGGAAGTATTTGTTGCTGCAGCCACTTTCCCTCAACCTGCCTCACGTCGTACATTTCCCAGGATGCTTTATGGGAAAACCACAGGAGAAAGTGCCTGAACATTTAGTATGTAGAACGATCGGTGAGGATAATGATTGTGAACCAAGAGTGAAAGGGCAAGTTGTTGCTCCAGTGCCTTCCGGGCCGTTGAGACTGCTGTTGGTGGAAAAATAGATTTTTCCAACTTCTCTACAATTAATTTCTTTCTGTGTTATTGTTCAATGTTGAACGTCTCTGCTGTATCTATTCTGGAAGTATCATGACATGACATCACAGTGATTCACAGGAAACTACAGGATCTTCATAGCGATGTTAAAATGGTTTGGGATGGATTTTGAATACAAAAAAACTGGAGGGACAAGAGTTTAGGAGCCCTGCTACTCTAGTCTCGCAAAGCCAAGCCTACATCTCCCAAGCTCAAGGTTTGATTGAGCCGGACTAGGTAGGTGAGTAATCAGTGAATGTTTTGATGCAACAACGCTTAGACGGTTAGCTTAGCTTAGACCAAAGACGTGAAACAGGGGGAAACAGCTAGCCTGGCTCTGTCGAAAAATGTAATAAAGTCAAACTCACTAACCAACAAGGTATATCTTTTATGTTTAATCTGTGCAACAACAAACAAAAAAAGTTTAAAACACTACAAAGTTGTGGTTTTCTGGGAGCTACAAGGATATTCTATTTCTTGGCTGGAACCACTGGCAACTCTCTGAAAACTCCAGAAAACCACTGCTATTAAACAAACGTGATTTATTAATAAGAGAGGAGCTTCCAGGTGGATTTATAGATAGAGTCAGGCTAGCCGCTTCCCCTTGCTTCCAGTCTTTATGCTAAGCTAGGCTAACCATCTGCTGGCTCCAGCTTCATATTGAACAGGCCGATATAAGTGAGGTATCAATCTTTTCGTCTCACTCTGGACAAGTGTATTCCCCAAAATGGCAAACTATTCCTTTATGACTTTACAAGGGTAAAATGTAGCATGGATTTGAACGTTTCGTGGATAATTTTGGGAGTAATTTAACATTTCCAGAACAACCACAATGGCTTCCCTAGTTCAAGAATTGGAAGAGGGAACCAATGACAGCTGTGGAGGCGCTCGTCCAATCAACTCAAGGAGAGAAATGTCAATCATGTGGTCTGAGACATTTGACTGGCTTTGCGAGGCTACTACTACTCTGGTGGACTGTACCAATAAATAAAGTATCCAGTGAAGCTTCCATACAGACGTATTGTAGTATTTGAACCTTCATACAGCATCAGATGGGTTGTGATGAGACAGCCTGGATGATATTAAAGAAGATAACCACAGAAAACTACATTAAAAGTCAAGTTGAAATACTCTCTGTGACTGTCTCAACTTTCTCTGTAGTGTCCAGTGTGGCAGACCACACCCATCTGGCACTGGAAAAAACAATGTATTTGCAACCACCCTTTGTCCCAGTTCTGACACTGTCACAGTGGCATTCTTTGGCATATGAAGGGAATGCAGCCCCCCCCCTCGTCCTGTTTCCTGTACTGTGTCGCCCGCCAGCCAAAAGAATCTGTCCTATTCTTGGTATTTCAAGGGGAACGTGATTGGAATTTTATCTGCTTCCAAGTGGAATGTCTGGGTCATGGATTTGTCTTGGATTTCATGAGTGGTCTTGAATATCCAGTGCTTTCTCCCATAATGCAACAGGCAGATGCTATTTTATTTTTTTTTGAAACAGTAAGCTTTCCTTGAACAATGAGTCTAGACATACATGCACACACGCACGCACACACAGAAGGCATTTTCCTCCACAGCAATGCTAAGCTGATTTGCAAATTTAAGCCAAATTCATAGCATTTTCCCTACGCACCAGAATAACCATTCAAGAAATCTTGAAAAGATATATGCTAAAAAAACACTTCACAAAGTACGGCACTCCAATTTCCCATTGTCCTGAATGCTTTCAGTGTGCAGAGAGGTAGACGCAGATGAAGCTGTGCAAGTCGCCTTATCCGCCTCTGCATTGTCACAATGCTTCAAAGGCAGGGGGGAGATGAAAGCAGGTGATATGGGGAGGCTGATAGAATCTGAAGATGGGACGAGTGATCTGTGTTCTGCTCCTTCAAAGGGATAGAGAAACCAAGATAGAGAGGAGGGAATGAAATGGGCACCAGCTTTTGGTTGAAAGGCAGCTATCCCACCATCCAATGTACCACCTCTCACTGGCTTTACGGTTTTCCGAAGCAGCAAGCTCGCGTGTAAAGGACCCGCAATGATTGGGGCTCCCATTGGGGAAACTTCCCTCAGTGGGTTAAGTAATTTTTTTTTTAAAGATTCCAAATCCTTGCTAAGCAGTAAAAAGGGTCCTGGACTGTGTTGCTATCACAAAACCACGGCCTTGCCACAGGCACAAGTTTAGAACCTATCGTCTCTGAGTTGCGTTGGGGACTTGAAGGGTTTGAGCCCCAGTGTCTTGCGGGGGTGAGCCCTCTCTTTGGTGCCATCCAGGGGTTTGCTGCAGGCTGCCCAGCCCAGGTCGACGAGGGGCGAGTCGGCCGTGTTGAGGGGCGCTCTGCGTAACGAGGGCAGCGTGGGTGAGCCGTTAGTGGAGCACGGGGCAGAACGGGAGGTGGGGAAGGGCGCCGAGAAGGGGTCGAAGGGGGAAGCCGTGTCAGAGCCGCACGAGGGGTCAGCCTTGAGGGCGAATGGGTCGCAGTCCGGTGAGGGGAAGGGGTCACAGTTGGTGAAAGGGTTGGTAGGGGAGGGTTGGTAGCCCAGAGGGTTGCTGTCCAAGCGGTTTGAGCTGCGGCCACCACCTGAGTACGGGCCACCTGCAGAGATGAAGCTCCAGGGGTCAATGCGGGGGCGAATGGGGGACGGGCGGGGCCGGGGGATGACGGTGACCTCCAGGCGGCGGGTTTTGGGGCTCCAGAGGGCAGGGTTAGGGTGGAGAGACAAGGACACTGAAGGCTTGTCATCAGAGTCCTGTGTGTCTTGGCACAAGGGCAGGTCCAAAACTGGAAGGAACAGAGAGAAAAATCATTAAAGGGGCACTTCAGCCATTTAGTATTACACTTTAAAAACTTGCAAGAAACAGACGTCAAATGGAAGCAGTGGAGGACAAGATATATCGTGACTTTTAGTCCCTAGTATGAGTCAAGCTTTAAAATGCTGGTAACTACATTTCCCATAATGCAACTCAAGAGAATCTTTCATTAGACCATCCCTGCCTGTTAAATCCCCTCTTTCAAACTCCTCCAGTTTATAACACCAGGGTTCCTTCTCTTGGATTTCTCCTCCAGAGCCACAGAAGACATTAAATAAGTCTGAGTGGTACAACAACTAAACTGACCTCTATGTCAGAAATCCTTGAGGTACCGCTTTTAACAAAGACACAATTTCAGAGAAAGGCTGCATATCCAACATATTGAACATCCTCATTGTCCTCTACTTCACTTTCTTGCTTGAGGAGGCTTTAATTGTTAATCTGTAAATTAGATTAACTCTCACGCCGCTGTGGTGTTGCCCTGCTGATCTTTCATGCGCTCCTCTCCAATTGCAAATTTGCATTTGCTTTCTAGTATTCTGCTAAACACACAAACCTGTGAGATGACATTGATTCGAACAGAAACACGAAAGTGGCACATTCTTGTTGCAAAAAGAAATGGAACAGTCACCAGCACAGAACGTTGATGCAATTAGTCTAAATTAAGAATAACATGGCGCTGTGTGACTAGTTGACAGAGCTGCAACAGCAAGTGTAAATTAGCACTGACAAGAACATTAAACTCCGAATGAATCAGCTTGAGTGAACATTTGCTATTTCCAAATGCGATGTGTCTGCCAAATGGCATTATTTACATCAACAGCAGCTCTCCGAGGCGGCTAAGCTATTCAGCTGACAAGAAAGAGCAATCAGGAGTCACATGAGAGCGCACGAAAAGAGCCCGTGAAGGAATCCTCTCTACTTCAAGCACACGTCCACCACCAGCAACCGTGTGGCAGCCTGTCCGTGCATCCGAGTCATTACAGTCAATAAACATAGTAAGATGTTTAGCTAAAACACCCCCGGGGAGGCCCGAACACGCCGCTTTTCGGGGGGGGGGGGGGCACATCTCTGTGGAGCAGCCAAGGCTTGGTGAGTCAAACGGAGCAGATACAGTGTGTGGAACGTTACCAGAGGGCACTCTTAAAGCCCTCGTAAAGCCCACTCGCTCTTAAAACAACCAATACCCACGCCTCCGTCGTTACAGCTCTAAACTGTGTCGGTGCTTATAAGAAATGCATATTAGTCTCTGGGAAAGACATGTGAATGTGCCGTACAGTAGATGAACAAGGTACGTAGATCATCTCTGCTAGCATGACACTTACATGAATTAAAACAAAAGTATAAATATGCCCTTCAGGAACTGAACATCTATTTCTCATGAAATTTTCGAGAGGGAATAAATGCTAATCCCTCTTGAATGTGATCGGATGTCGTGTGTCATGTTTGCATCCTTTACACATGGCATTCAAGCATACATTCGACATGCCTCCATGTGAACATGTGCTGGATCTAGAGTGCAATAGTGTGTAGTGTTATCACCCATAGGCACTGCCAGCTCCAGTCAAACTATCTGGTCAGAGAGAGTCGACACCGTGGGGGCGGGGAAGTCAATAATAGATTATTAGCAATTTTGAATCCGGCACTTTCTGTCTGCATGACCTCAGCTGTGCCCCCGGATGTTTTGCATTCATCTCCAACTTTGCAATAAAAGAAAACCATGGCTTGAAAGAGGCAAAAACAAAAGGAGATTGGATGCTAGCTTTGCTTAGCAAGTATTAGCAGTGAAGAATGGGGGGGGGGGGCAGCTGGTACTTGAGATATGCAAATTGCTGAAGACGAGCTTTGATGTAAATGAAAAAGCTTGCGCCGCATTGAAGCCTCCCAACATCTTGCTAAAAAAAAAAAGTTACAATAATAATTCTGCAACAACTGTGAAGGGAGCATTGTCATGCTGAAAAGGTACATTATTCAAGGTTGGATCTTATTTCAGTGGGTGGGCCTCCTGGAAACATGCTTAGTGCTCTCAAGGAAATGCAGAGGAATAATGGAAATAGATGAAAAACCAAATCATGGATCCAATTTCAATTTGGAGAGGAGACTGTAATTTAAAGGGACAATCCAGTGATTTAGTATTGCACTTTCATAAAGTTGGGAGGCTTGCAAAAGACAAATAATAATAGAAATAAAATGGTCAAAGCAGCAGAAGTCGGGATATCCAACCTTTAACCTCTATGTATAAGTCATGCTCCCAAAACACTGGACTTCCTACACTTCCCACAATGCAACTTGATCGAATTTTTTGCTACACCCTGTCTGGTGAAAACACAGACGTGTCCAAAGTCCACACCCCCCCAGTGAGTAATGCAGGCTATCTTTTGAAAATGTGTGAATTAAGTGACATTGACTCGTAAAATTGGTGGGGTTCCCCTTTAAGGTGAAAGTGTCAGACTAACCTAGCTGAGAGGCGTGCAGGCCTTGGCTGGACCTCCTCCTCCTGTCAGCTTTGTGCTCCCAGGCCTCACAGGCCAGCTCCCCGTTAGTCGAATGGGAACTCGGGGTCCATTCCCCAGGGCTGGCCTTACCATGCTTCAGGGGGTTCCTGGGGCAATGCGGACTGTGCGGCATCCGGTGGCCGCTCCTCTCGCGGGGGTTCGGCGGAGGCGGCGTCAGGGGCAAGGGCTTCAGTTCTTGGTACTGCAGAGCTAAATCCAAAAGTGGTCTGGGGAGCAGCTCGGAGGGGGACAAGGTGATGAGATCGTCCACCACAGGGGGGTCTGAAATGAGGGGCATAGGGGCGGAGATCTCTGGTTCGGACGGGGTGCGGCTCTCTAGGGATGAGGGGTTAGTTCGAGGGGGCACCCTTGGGGGAATATCCAGGCAGCGACCTAGTCCTATGGAGGCCAAGAGGGAGCCACCGCCCAGCAGGGCCTGGTGGGTGCTCTTAACGTGGCCACCGTGGGATCTCCTCTCTGGCCTGGGGGAGCCAGCCGGGGAGGAACACCCTTCCTCGCTGGCCGAGTCTCGCTGAGGTAGAGGAAGCCGCAGGCTGTCCTTCACTGAGGAGCCTGCAGAGAGAAAAAAACGATGTTTTTTTAAGTTTTAAAGAGACAGAGAAGGAGAAAGAGACAACCCATTTATTATTCATTTAGCTCTTATGCATAATTCACAGTCATGGCAGTGTGAGTTCAAACAGTGGCTAATGGAAGATCTGCGGCTGGCGGTTAAGCCGGTGATGGAGGGTGTCAGATACCGTTCTGAGGCGGGGGAGGGGTTGGCCTGTACTCCTCAAAGTCATCCTTGGATTCCCCCCTCACATTGCTGTCTGACTCCAGGAGCTTGGCTCTCATCGACAGACTGAAAGCGCCAAGAAATGTAAAAATATTCAAGCATGGTAATGAATGATGTTGAGCGTGATCAAATCCTATATTTTTCAAATGTTTCCTTGTAAAAGAAAAGGGCTGCTGTACCTGCTTTCCTGGGGACTAAGGCGCAGGACTTTTGGGCTTTTGGGACTTTTCGGGCTCTGGGGCCTCCAGTGGGGGCACGACCTCAGGTCTCCATTGGCTTGTTTATGAGAAGGGGCCTCCAGGGGCCAGACCCCACTCAGACCGAACGTCCTGCTGTTGTCACTGGGACTAACTGCAGGAGAAAAAGGGAGAAAAGGAAAGAAAGAAATTAATATCAGTGTACATGTGATCAGTATGCATACTAATTAGCTGCATCCTAATGAGGTGTGCATTTTTAAAAGGCAGGTTTCCCCAATAAATCGCCACAGCCCTGCAATCATCTCCCAACACAATGACCTTTAATTGACTCCTCGACAGCGAGAACTCATGTGACTTCAATGCACTTTTTTTCCGCTCATATTTCTGCACAGCTTAAGTCCTGACTGACTCCTCAACAGTGTGAAGATTGCCTCATCATATGGATACAGCATAGCTGGTAACCTCCAAAGCGGTTCACAGACAGAAAGTGTGAGAAGAAGGAGCCAAAATCCCCCCGGGAAATGATGGGAGAGGAGATGCAGGGTGCTAATAAAAAGTTGGGATTGCAACTGCCTTTCACACGCTTCACACAGGCGCTGGCGCTGGCGCCGCATCTCAGCTCGCCGCTCCGCCCCTCGCAAACTGACTCGCACTGCTAACGCGAAGTGTGTGAGCTCTGCGTGAACATTCACTGGCACACAGCGGGGTACAGTGTGTGCTCAACTTCCTGCCACAACGTACAGACCCCATCACACCCTTCCGAAGGCCTTTACACAGCCTTCGCAACACAACAGCTGGCATGTTAGTCAAAAGAAGAGACTAAAGCGGAATATAGCGCGGATACCAGGGAGGAAAACTTTGAACCGACGGTTTTGTTTCACTGAGTTTTGGCGCTTCCCTCATTCATGTCATTTCATTTCAGCTTCAGATTTGGGGAAAGGTAAATATGCTCTCTGAATGGACATGTGGTATTATTTTCTTTGGCCTGTCTACTACACTGGGGGGCTGGCTGATGCACTCTATGTTTTCAAAGCAAGCACTGAGGTCAGGTGATAGTGAGAGCATTGCAATTTCATCAAGATCTTTCCCAGCGTGTTCCTCTTCAAACACATGGTGATATGAAGTCTGCATGTGGCGGAATAAATACTGCTGTGACATCTTGAGCCAGGCTAAAGGCGGTTTATATGTCACTTTGTTAAGCCTCCACATGTTCTCAGGGGAGAAAGTCACCATTTTGATTCTCAATATGTGGTCAGCCTATTCAAACGTTCAGGCGTTTTTGGAGAAATGACATAGCTGCTGGCGGGGCGCATTGAGACCGGCAGTTAGCAATTCTGAATAGTCATTAGCTCTGTAGGTATAGCTCCAAAATCACTTAAGTTATTACAACTCATCCAGAGGAGGATATTAATGTCTGTACCAAAGGTTGCTACAATCCCTCAGGTGAAAATGTAGCCATTTCCCTGGATGAGTGAAGATTTTTTAAACCTGACCTAGAGGAAAATTCGGGGGCATCAGCAACTCTTTATGATTCATCCCCTTGGAACCGTGGATGTCTGTACCAAATTCCATCCCAATCTATTGAAAAATGATTGAGGTACCGACTGACCGACCAACACCACCATCCTTAAAAAGGTTAGCATTTTATATCATCAGACAAACAGAGAGATGTGGAGAATTCTATACAGGTACTGGAAGGATGAATAGGACTAAAGGAAAAGCTCAAGAACCACAACTTATCCGGCTTCCAACAGATAGACTAAAAATAAGGAGGATAGCGATATCCACAAGCTGCCAGCACATCTGCCAGCATACTGACATGCTAAGAATGCTAACTGCTACAATACCAAAAAAGTCCCTGAAAAATATAGGACGGTTTCATTTTCTTGTGATCTCTATTCAGTAGAACACGGCACAACGAGAGACGCTACTTGTGAGACGATCATTCTGTGGGTTTCATTGTGCCCTCCTGTACTCATTTGTATTAACAGAACAAAAATCCTGTTGAATGGAACTCTGTAGACTAATTCAAATCAATTTGGCAGTTCTCTAGACAAGTCAGGGAGGCCCGAGCAATATATCACTGCGAGGGCAAGCATAAATACCCACTAAACACATTTTAATGACAGACACACTCACGGCTTAGTGGTAGCCATTAAGGAAAGTCATTAGCGAGTAAAGAAAATCAGCCCTCGATTTGATGAATAAAAGACGCTGGCAGATGTTTTAGATTTACTAACCACTTTTACAAATAAATGTTTCACTACAATTTGTGCTTTTATGTCAACCCCCTTTGGGTAATTGTTTAGAGGGAAAGAAATCCCTTTCACTGACTATTGCTACACCACAAATTTCCTCTTGGGTTTTGTTAAGACGCCCTGTGACCCACTGGCTACAATTTCCCTCCGAAGGGAAACGATCTCGGGCCGTTTGTCTGGGAGCCTGACAAGCAGAAGAGTATTGTAAATCTCTGCCGCTGCTGCAACCCTTCTCAACCTCCTTCTACTGGAGCAATGAATTCCTCCCTGCATATTTTTAATTCAGTAAACCGCACTGTAGCCACTACATGCATATAAAACTGTGGACTCTTTCCGCCTGGAAAATACAGCTCAATGGCTCCCCCCGCTGCAGCAATGAGGACACTGCACGCAAGGGAGGGGGCAGCAGAGCAGTGCTGCGGTAGAAAAAAAAGCTGCTGCCACTGGGAGGAAGTCAGATAATATTTGGACAGTGGAAAAGGGAAAAGGGTGTGTGTGTGTGACAGTGGAAAAGGGAAAAGGGTGTGTGTGTGTGAGAGAGAGTGAGTGAGAGAGAGAGCAGTAAAGAAGGGAGGGGGAGAGAGAGGGAGCCAACAGGGAAACATGGGAAGACAAAAAAGACGAGTGGGTGGTTGAGAGCACATGAAAGGAGAGAATTTGGAAACTGAGAGAAGTAATGTTGCAACAGAGTTTGTGTGCTCCCACATTCTTCGGTTTTCCGAATGTCTCTGGAAGCAAACACAAACATGTGCACCTGTGTGTTTATCCAAAAGGGGGAAAAAAATCACCGCACTCACGTTGGATGGCACGGAAACGTGGGCCGAAGGAGGGCGAGGAGCCCGAGCCCAAATCAGGAGAGTTCCGCCTCTTCTCCAGGCCCGGGGAAGCCTGCACCGTAATCTTGTGGATGAAATCTGCAACACACAAACACATGCAGCGGATGTTAGACCACCTAGACGGCACACGCCAACACAGAATACACGCACGAGTTTGGGTTTCATGCTCTACTTTACATTCGTACACTCTCGACTTGTTAGGTTGCAACACTTTTTTTAAGCTTCCCTATTTCTCTAGGACAGCCTGTGGTGACTTTTATGGTGGTGGAAATTCAGTTTAATACATGTTCTCAGCTGGGTAACAAGTGCTGTTTCTTTAGGTAACGCTTATTAAGCAGATTTCAGTAGCCTGTTATGTATGTATGTATGGGTGAGAACTGGCCATCTTCAACCGAGCAAGTAACTACTAACTTAGCTGTGACTAACAGCATGCTACTGCTACTACTTGCTACTAGCTAACACTGCTGCTAACAAGCTACAGGGCCCAGTAGGTTTCAGGAGGGAAACTCTGAAATGACTAATGATTAAATCAATATGAGTGATCATTTTCTGAAGAGCAGTTAGCCACGAGCAGTAACTACTAGCATGTAGCAGCAGTAGCAAGCCAGCACTTACTGAGAGGAGCAAGCAACACTGCTAATAATGAGCTTCACTGCTTGGTGGATATCAGGAGGGAAATCTAACCTAATACATTATTAATTAAATTAGTAATTCATGCCTTCAAATTGTGAACAATTACCTCTGATGAATGTGCTCTCAATGTATCAATTTTCTTCCCTCAATCGGTAATTTGTAATCAGAAATATGGTAATAGGGACTCCTTCCCTTTTAATCAATGATTGGTGCCCTTGAATGACTAAATCACGTTTTTCAATTACTTATTGACTTCTATTTAAAGGATATCAAAGAGGACTCAGTGTCATTTTTACTTGCAGAAACCTAAAGTTGTATTAAATGCAGAGGTCTAACAAATTAAACAAAGGAGATATCACTATTAATTTGAGGTAAATAATTAATTATGGGGTTTGACATCGAAATTGATTGCACAAATTATAAATTCAAGGAGAGAAATTTAGTAACTGGAATACGTGAATTAGTCAGTTGAGGTAATAAAAGGTAAAGTGTAATTTGCTAAATTAACTCGTAGCATTAGCTACCAGCATTAGCTAGTACTTGCATGCTGGCTAGCTGGCAAAAGAAGCTAATATTGATGCAACTGCAAAGCCTCACTTATTAGTCTTTTACCACAGCATTAAGAAAAAGTGCAAGAGCAACACGTGATGAAGAAAAAAGTAAATAATAATATTGGTGGAGAGAGGAAGAGACGAAAGGGTGTCAGACAGATATAGTTAGGAGGAGAATAAAAACAGAGACTAGGGAGCTAGAGGGGAAAGACAGAGAGAGAAAGGGGGAGGGAGGGATACCTAAAAGGAAAGAGGGAGAGAGAGAGCGAGGAAGTTGAGCGAGGCCAGCCAGCAGTGTATCCATAGACAGGAAGTAACAAGGCGTGGTTGGCTCACGCTCCCCTCTCATCAACCCCCCCCTCAACCCCCACCACCACCACATCACCGCCCTGCTGCTGCTGGGAAAGGCCTAACCACAACACACACACACAATGTATTTACGCATGCTTGCTCTGCCTAAAATACACTGACACACACATTGAAACACTGAACTGTGTGACATTATGATAGAGGATGGGTATTAAACAGGAGTGTTGGTCAGTGTAAACCTGAGATCCACCTTTAGTCACATAAATGTCTTATGATGGTCTGACATTGTTCTCAGGGCAAGGCAACATTTTGAGGTTTTCAAAATTGGAATTGGAAGCAGCCGAATTTAAAAAAAAAAAATCAGCCTTTAAACCTACACAAGTCCTGTCCTGATAGGAACCTTCAGCAAAGCCGAGCTACAAAATTACAGTTGCACCACAAACTCTCTCCCTCGCTTCCTCCTCGCTGCTCTCTTGTATTTTTTTTGCCTGTTGTTGTTTTTGCTGCTTCTTGAGACTGAGCCAGTAATGGCCCTTGAAATGGAATATTTCGTCAAGACCGTTGGCTGACACAATCTGGATCGTAGTTGGATTTGTGACAGAACAACTCAAAAAACAGTTCAAACAAACAAAACACACACACACACACACACACACACCTTGAGGCATGCTGATCTTCTCGCCATTCTTGCACTTCAGCTTGTGCTTCTTGAAGGTGCCCTTCCTCTTCTTGACGTTGGGTTTCTCCAGGTTCTGGTTCTGGTTCAGGTGGAGGATGAGGAGGCTGAGCTCGCGCTCGAACACGTCCTGCTCCCACTGGGCCAGCTGCTGCTCGCGCTGCTGCAGGAACTCTTCGTGGGACTTCTGCTCCAGGGCCGCTCGCTTCAGCTCCTCCTCGCGGCATCGCAGCTCCTGATGGCGGAGGAGGCACAGGCGGATGAAAGGAGATGAGGAGGTGTTTTGAATTGGAGCAGATGCCAATCGTGTGTGACTGAGGTTTGCTGTGTGAAATGAGCCGCTGAGGGTTGGTTGCAATGAAATCTTTTGGGGAATTAATGGCAAGAGGACTCACAACTTGACAACTTGACATTTTATTCGATGTTCCACAGATTCGTGTTTGAAGGTGTCGGCACAAATTAAAAAGTTGCAGTGTATGTATGGGCCTCTACTTTTTTTTAAATAAAATCAAACTTTCTGTGATGAGCTGTTTTTGTTTCTTTGTGTAAGGGTAGCAAGAATAGCTGATATTGATATCTATAACAATATCTTGGCTTGCTATACCTTTTAAAGGTACAGTGTGTAGGATTTGGTGGCATCTAGCGGTTAAGAGTCAAATAGACCATAAAGCAGGGTATGCTTTAGGGCGGGGCTACCTTGTGATTGACAGGTCGCTACCAGAGCGTTGTCCAGCATGGGAGTAGTCCATGTTTTCGTCTTCCAACTTTAATCCTTTCACAGTATTTTTATAGTTCATGAAGGTTAATTGTAACATTTTGGTCACCTAGGGTTCGATTGTACTTCACCGAGTCACTTCTGGATGCAAAAAAACAAGATGGCGAGAGCCAAAATACCAAACTCCAAGTTTCAAAATGGTGCGCCACAAACCAATGGGTGACACAATGGGTGCTCTGTGACTACGTCCACTTCTTCTATAAAGTATACGATTGTTACCACAGTTTCACAAGCATGTCGGAGAACTACGGCCTTTAGGCAACCTAAAAATGCAAAAGGCTCTCTCTAGAGACAGTGTTTGGTTTGTCCGTTCTGAGCTACTGTAGAAACATGGCGGTGCAACATGGCGGACTCCGTGAAGAGGACCCTCTCCCTATGTAGATACGAGGGGCTCATTCTAAGCTAATGCACTGGCCCTTTAAATTACTATATAGCTTGATATTAAGTTGTTTTATGTGTTTCCTTTGAGGCAAAATTGCAGAAATGTACATGGATGAAAATTAGTTTTGTATGGGTTTATCTTTTGATCAACATGGATGAATAAAAAGAGGTCGACAAATGGTTACTTTACTCAATCGCTGCCTCCTACCTTCTCTTTAGCCCGGAGTTCATCGAACATGTCCTGGATCTCCAGTTTCCAGTCCTGCTGCAGGGAGTGGAAGGACTCCTGCGGCATCTCTTCCTTCACCTGCTGCTCCAGGGCCATCAGCTGGGACAGGATGGAGTTGAAATCGGGTCTGCGGTGGGGGTCCTGGTCCCAGCACTCTGTCACACACACACACACACACACAGTAGACACAGTCAGACACCAGGGTCACTTACTGCAGCACTTCAGATACAGGGTTACTACTACTACGCTCTCTACAGCACGCACAAATAACAGAAAAATATTAGAAATAAGGAAGTAGTGGACCAAAGCAGAGCAAAATGGATATTAAGCAGGTTTACTCTGGAAAAAGATAAAGGGTTATTTAGTCTGGTACTGAGTTGCTTCCTTAAAATGAGTGGAAAAAAATCTAACATCAAATTCAACCTAATTCACTTTTTCCAGCAGTTTCACTTCTTTTAAGCATTTTCTTGAATCAAGGGACCTGAAAGAAGGAAGTAACTCACATACATACAGATTTGCATTGGAAAAAAAGGCACATTTCATCACCCTACCGAGAGGCGTTACAATTTTAAGACTTTAAATCAGGTCAGATTGCTTTCTACAATGCGATCGTTACAACCCATGTCCGATGAGTATCCTGCAACGCCTCCCGTTTTTATTTACACATACTTCAGGCCCTTGTGTGAGCATAATCTAGAGTCAAGCTGATCACTTATTCAAAGTGTTATGCTTAATTAACTTGCTGCGGGGGGTTTTGCATAATTTGCTGCATTACAAGCAGATCAAAAACCAATCCGATAATTAATTAATCCTCTGAGGTGGCTATCGGTGGTTTTGTGCACTGATCTCTTTTTTTTTTTTCAAACACAACCATAGAAGACAAGCAGACATCAAGACAAGGGGCGAAGAGGAAAGACTGTTATCTGTCCCACTTTTTGTTAAAGGCGGGTGGTACCCAGGTGACATTTCTTTTTAACTTGAAACTGAACAAAGGAAGAACACAAACATATTGCACAAGGAGGTTACAGCACAAAACACTTCCTCTCCGCGGCCACGTTATTAGCAACACACAGCACTGTGTTTTCTGAATTTTGACCCTGCTTTGGGGAAATGGGAGGAGAGCGTGCCGGGGAACGGCAATTTGATCTCACGCAAGAGTACTCTCACACCGCTGAACTGAAAGCCATTTGCCTAAACAGTGCACTGGGTGCATTCTGATTACAGTTACAAACATGTGTCCCACCTGACATCAGCAGGGCGAAGGGTTCGGGGCACGTGGAGGGGATGGGCAGGGTGAGCTTGTTGACGGCGACTCCGTAGGCGACAGCGAGTCCGTCAATCCCTTTGTAGGGGACCTCTCCTGTTAGCAGCTCCCACAACAGAACACCATAGCTGGAGGGGGGGGGGGAAGGGACACACAGGCAATCGGGCATGAGACAGCAAACTCAGACCAAAATTAGACACAAGAGTATCCTGGAAAACACGCTTCATACTGTGTTTTTGCAGCACAAACAGAATAGCACTATCAGCATTTTTTGTATAGTGTTAATTATTAAATCAGATCACTGCAGTATCAATATACAAGGCAAGAATATTCATTTCACAACTGTATTAATTTCTAGACCATTGTTATATAGAGGGTATGATTCAAATTTAGTTTTATATTTATTCTCATTATTATCTACCCAAGTTCTTCCTCATTGTCAGTGTTTTGGTACATTTTGGAAAAAGAAATAAATTAGATGAAACCCTAAGTATAGAGGTCAAGATGAAACAGTATGGCTTACATGTTGCACTACCTGTGCTATCATCATTTCAAGTGTTAATTGTGGAAAGAAATGTTATCTAAATTAAAACTGGATCAATCCTGTCACAATATTAGTTTTTTATCTATTTATTTGCGATACATGAAATGTGCCAAATCTGATGCAATATTTTTGTTTCATGCCTACAAACAGATTTGCAGAACAGATACCAATATATTCCAAAATATGAGGATTCAAATACTCTATATGCTGGTACTTTTACAAGGATATTGGCTCATGTAGTTGTGACATAGAAGATACCACCTCGGGTCATCACCGGTGTTTAAATATTTCATGGTCATTTCTTCTCCTCCCTACATACCTTCACATTACACATCGTTATCATGGAGCTGACGGAACAGAACCAAGACACATTTGTGCAATGGAAAATTTACTTGGTAAAACATGTGCTTGCAAAGCAATGTGAACTCACGCATGCAAAAGTTGTACAAACACACACACACACACACACGCAGGACTTGGATCCAAACACCGTCAATTAGCCCTTGCCTGGACCTGAGTGAACACACTGTGGAGGCTCGCTAAGTGGAGAGCGCAGGCCGCAGCCTCTTTTTATTTTAGTTCTTTAATTACAACTTCCACACGCTGTGACTGTGCTGAAGCGATGCTCGCCGCTCCCCGAGGCGGTCGCTGTCTTCGGGTACGGATGAGAAAAGAATAATAGAACAAAGATTACCTTTCATTTTCAGAGCGGGGCCGCCTGCTTCATTCTTGTTTTTTTTGTGCTTTTTTCCAGATTTATGCTGCGATTTGCTGTGAAAATGAGCTCGCGTGGGTTTGTTGTTGATAGACGGGGAGATGGAGACTGAGATGATGCGTGTGTGAGCGGTAGTATGATGACACTGAGCCCATTAAGGTAGTTAATATAAATACACACTCTTACTAAAAAGGGTTCCTTAATGCACCAGAAAATTCCTTAAGTAGCTTGTACCATAGCAGAACCCTTTTCTGATGTTCTCAAGAATGCTTTCAAAAAGGTTCTCTGGAACAGCCTGTTCAATTGGTCCCACATAGGCTCTGTGTGGGGCTGCGAATACCCATTTAAGAATGGATTAAATGGTCCAAATCCACTGGATTATAAATTAAAGCATAGCATATGAGAGTAACTGCTATAACCACGATGCAGCGAAGCCGTGAATGTGTATTACCACTTTAGTAAATTGTTTATCTTGTTCCCTACTGGGGAGCAAAAACAGCCCCGCTCGCTTCATCCCACATGTAAATTCATATACGGCCCTTAGACGCCATCATGAATCCCCCCCTCAACACATCACACAGTTGTTTGAGTCATCATTATAAAACCACAAACCATAATCAAGGGACTCTTCTCTTTCTGTGTAGATGTGACCAAACACACACAGATACGTGTATATCTCTCTCACACACACACACACACACACACACACACACACACACACACACACAGAGCTATTCCCAGATAAAGGGCTGCGGTTGGGTCTGGTGTGTGGCCTCCTTCTCCGTCTGTGCTTGAGACAATGGGACAGTGTGCAGTACAGATGTCCCACAACAAAGCACAGAGCAGCCCTTTGAAGAGACGCCGTCACGTGGCCGCGGTTCGGTCTCGCTGCAATCCATCATTCTCGCCATCACTCTGTCTCCCACCATCAGAAGGGGGCGACTCCTCTGGTTGTATAGAAGTCTATGAGAAAATGACTCTACTTCTCTCTTGATTTATTACCTCAGTAATAAACATTGTAAACATGAGTTTATGCTCTCAGTCGCTAGTTTTGAAGTCTTCTTCAATAAATGATGGTCCATTTAGAGTCAAATAAACACAAAGCAGAGTATGCTTTAGGGCGGGCTATCTTATGATTGACAGGTCGCTGCCGCTACCAGAGCCATATACGCCGTCTCTACGTCACTGCTCCGCCATCCAAATATGGTCACTTCTCATGCAACTCTCAGCAAAACAGCGAATAAGTGTTTCCCAAGATGTCAAACTATTCCTTTAACTAAAATGGTAACATAAATTCCATTTAAGCACACCTTCACGTGTAATAAAAAACAATTCTGAACCGAGCTTCACACACGAGCGCTCACCTCCAGACGTCGCTGCCCTTGGAGAAGGTGGAGGACTTGATGACCTCGGGGGCCATCCAGGCGTAGGTGCCGGCGGTGCTCATCTTGGTGGTCTTGTGCCACTCCCTCGCCAGGCCGAAGTCTGTGATCTTCAACGTCAGACCCTCCATACATTCATTCTCTATGGGCTGAGCCAGAAGGACTGGAGGAAGGAAGTCAGGAGAAAGGTTTTAAAGAGTTAAATATGGGGAGTGATTAAAATACAACTGAATGCATCCCCGCAAGAACTTTTATTGAGTCTTTCTTCAGTACGCACATTTTGTCACTTCCTGTTGTCTTCATGCCACTACAATCCACACTGAGTATCCTATGCTACGACATTTCACAACATGTGGTCAAATGGGCAAAAAAAGAGGGAGCGCCATTTTGAAAATGAACGCTCAGAGTCCAGTAGCTCCTGTGTGATTGCTGTGTTACGTAAGCCGAACACTTCCTACTGCTGCTTCAGATTAAAAGCTTCCAAACACTAGAACCACGAGAAGGCTTTTATTGTGAAGCAGCTACAGGAATATTTTCAATATCAAATAATAATGTGAAAATTATTATATATAAATTGTATGAAATATATAAATGAACCAACCTTTTGTGGAAAACATGAAGACATTATTAAAAATCACTATTCAAATATGTCATTTAATCACAGTTTTAGAAGATAGAAGAACAAATTAGACCCAATCACTGTAAGTAAGTCCACGTTCAGAGAAGTGAACAAAGCACATAACTGCTTGTAGTTAAATGGACCAATAACAATGTTGTCAGAGTTGATCATCTTACTGTGTGAAAAGATGCATGATTATGGTCTGCTATTTCATGCAGACACAGAGAGACAATTCACCCGTATCCAAATTTAGCGAAGACATCTTTTGACCTGGCCGTGCTTACTGGGACCACAACATCTACTGAGAATGGGTATATTTTATTTTATTGCTTAAATATGACAAAAGCAACAGCCATTTGATTATTTTAAAAAGTCTAGAATCTGATTGATGAACCCGTATTGACAGGGACGGACAACCCTGACAGCAGCAACATAATGGATCAATCAGATACGGATGACTGATGCTCAAGAACAGGCCTCTAAACATAGCCACAAACGCCGAAATCCAAAATGAGAAAAGTATACACTGTAAAATGTAATAACCCTATAAGTAAACACATTTTGGTAACCAGCCAGTGCTGTGCGACCACGCGGCGCTGGAAGGCTTTGTTTCCATGAAAATAGAATGCGACGGCGAGGACGTCGGTCGCTGCGGTGTGACTCTGTATCACATGCCTCGCTGTGATCGGCCGCCCGGCCTCTCTTCCCCTTTTGTTGGCAGGCTGGGCATCGCACAGGGCAAGGCCGCCCATCAAACGTAGGGAGGAGAAGCAGCAAAGAATTTGACTTATTATAGGGAAGTAAGACTCCTGCTATTTGCAGTCACTTTCTGACTTTCTGGGCTCGGCGCTCTTCTTCTTTCAACTGTGTATTTTGCTGAAAAATCCTCTCGAGACTTTCTTTTCCACACATATATGAACGATTCTCTGTCTTTGTTGTCTGTGTCTTTGTCTGTCTCTCTCTCTCTCTCTCTCTCTGCCTCGCTCTCTGACATCCTGTGCAGAGCCTCGTAGCCCAGAGGCGGCGGGTTTGACGTCACAAAGGAATGCATCACAAGAGGTTGTGTTGTCTGCAGTGTGTGTGTGTGGGTGTGTGTATGGGTGTGTGTGTGTGTGAGCAATTGCGGCACCCAGTTCTGCTGGAACCACACACACACACACACACACACACACACACACACACACACACACACCTTCCACAGCAGCAGCTTATGTGATTTTTGTCCATTCTGTCGCAAAAGATGAAGACAAGTGCAAAGACAGACTTCACATTCCTGACAGCCAGACAGCTTTTTTCTTTAATCGGGGAGAAAAAACAACATCAGGGTATGTCCATCACAAACTTTCCCATTGACTTCTGCCTCGAGACACAAACAACAAGAGAAGCCAAAGTAACCAATGGCCAAAACAAAATCAACCTCCACAGAGAGAAAGAAAGTGCCCGCTCGTTTAACCTTTTTTTTTTTGTTGTTGCAGAAAATCAATTTTTGTCCATTCTAAGGCTGAGTTATTGTTTCTTAATTACTGCAACAGGCCCTGATCTCTTACTCCGCTTCTTTTGTCCGCCTGCCGGTCAGCCTCTGGTAAAAGCAAGCCCCAGTCAGTCACCCCTATTTCCACCCGGCCGCTCGCTCGCTGCGTTGTGACCCCACTTCCAGGAAGTGACGCCCGTATCGGCCAATTAGCCTCCAGTGGCCAGGCCCTACCTTACAAAAAAAAAAGAATTGAAAAAAAAGAGAAAGAAAAGAAAACTTGGATTTTGTTGTTCCGGCTTGCTGTTGATTGTGCACAGTAAGCCGCTCGCTATTTTAGGAAACTGAGGTTAAGAGGGGTCACATGACACCAGACGCTAACAGGCGCGGAGAGGGAACAGGGAGGGAAGTGCAGGTGCTGCGGTAGAGTGGGCTGAGGAGACGGAGACAGAGGGAGAGGTGACGATGGTTATCTTATGATTGAGAGCCAACGGTGGCCGCCCGTTGGGCCGAGAGATAGAAAAAATGGCGAGCGCACACCGGTCGGTCTCACACAAAGCACTCATTCTACGTGGGCAAAAAGATGCACACACAAGACGCTTAAACTAGTACACTCACACTCTGTGTCCAATTTCTTTTCGCAAAACACCAAGCTGCACACAAGAAGCAAAGTGTGAGATGTGTGTGCACACACACACACACACACGCAGCTGAAGGACACACGGCTGAGCTGGGGCGTACAGTGTGGGTGCTCTTAGGGCATCATATCGTGAATAAACTTTAATAACAAGCACATACTTATTCTAATTTCTCAGGAAATCAGATTTTTTGGGGGAAAAGCTCAACATTTTCAAGCAAAAAAAAAAAAAAAAAAAAAGGTGTTTCATCAAGCGTCAGCTTTCAACGGAATAGTTCAACATTTTAATAACAAATATGCTCATACGTTTTCTGTGAGATGAGATGTCAGGATGTAATTAGCCTAGCTTAGCATGAAGATTGTGAACAGAGGGAAGCTTGGCTCTGTCTAAAGCATGGACTGTAATATAAGAGGTGGACATAGGTCACTTATTGGTTTGTGGACTGCTGTTTCGAGGCCTCGAGTTGGGCATTTTCGTCGTTGCCATCTTTACTTTTTGCAACCAGTAAACGAAAGTGACCATATTTGGACTGATTGATGTAGAGAAACCGTATTTTGTCAGAATGTAGCCCCGCCCTAAAGCATACCCTGCTTTATGGTCTATTTGACCCTAAATGGACCATAATTTACTAAATGAACATCATGCTGTATTGAAGACTTGAAACTAGAGATTGAGACCATAAACTCATGTTTACAATGTTATCAAATCAAGAGAGAAGTAGAGTCATTTTCTCATAGACTTCTATACAATCAGACTTCTTTTTGCGACCAGAGGAGTCGCCCCCTGATGGCCAGTAGAGAGAATGCAAGTTTAAGGCACTTCAGCATTGGCTTCACTCTTCAGAACTGGAGGTTGATGCCTGGTCTACAGTTCAAAATTACGACTACCATCATCTGTAAAACGCACTAATCAACATGTGTCTCGTTTGTTTGACTCATACTCAAAGAAAATTGGAAGATGACAACGTGTTGCATGATGTCACAGTGAGGTTGCCAGTTTTGAGACCGAATCTGTCAACCCGCACTATAACCTGAGACTCAGCACATAGGTGCTGGAATAGTATAGTAGATAGTATTCTATGCAACCTGTAATAAACATTTAACTTCAGAGTCGTGAGAGGCAAAATAAAAGTCCCTGACCCTATCTTACACTAGCGCATGTACACACACACACACACACACACACACACACACACACAGATTTATTGAAGGGTTCTGACGGTTTCATAACACACACACACAATAAATATATCTAACCAATGCATATAAATGCCTCTGCACTTACAGGACAGATATAGCCTACCTGTCCACGCACCCATGCGTGCACGCGCATATGGGGCCACAACACTCATCTATGCGCGCGCACACACACACACACACACACACACACACACACACACGCGTGTGCAGCTAAGCATAGAAACGAACATGCAAATCCACACAAGGAACAAAAGCCTTTTAGCAGCCTCAGCACAAATGCACACCACATTCTTCTTCCACTTCCTGAGCTGAGGCAGAGTGCATCCACAGTTCAGCCTCCCTCCTCCATCCGCAACCATCACACGGACGACGACTGTCGCATTAGTCAGCTGCTTACTGGACGGTATGTGGCAACGCACTGTGTCCAAATCAGCCACTGACCCACATAAAATGAAGTCTGCGGCGGACATCTTCAAGACTACACTGGAAAGTTTAAAGCAGTGCACTGAAGTCCGGATGGGTAACTTCCAAGTACTGCTGGGGAGGGGGGGGAAATATCTCTGGATTTATATAAATTGTATTGGGCTTATACAATAAGGGTACACATGATGTTTCACCTGCATCCTCTGGTGTCTCTCACCTGGGATCACATTTCGAGGAGGTGTGTTCACAATCAGAACAGAACCTCCATCTCTCCTTAAGAAGAAAGAATAACAGCGAGTATCATGACTAGATCAGTTTTGCCCTGACAGAGCTTCTTCCGGAGGCGAAACCAACAATGTCGCCACAAAAGCACCATGATAGATCCCCATGGCAACAGGACTCTGTTTGGTATTGTTTGTTGTTCTGAAACAAGAGAGAGTCAGTTGCAGACATGACTCCTACCAGCAGACCTGAGTTTGGTGCTGGGACTGAGTCAACCCGGCAGTAAGATTAGCGAGGGTCCCAGTGTCGGGGATTTTTGCATGGTGCGTTACAGGGCTGACTTTAAAGTTGAGATGAAATGAAAAATCTTTATTTTTTATGTCAAAACCCAATCAGCTTTTCTTCCTTTAAAACAAAATACGACGCGTGCATACATAAGCTATTACCAATCACTTTCAACCAATCCTTATCACGCTACATTTGAATGCCCGCCCACTTTTTAGCGGCCCAATAAAATGCAACGGATTTGATTTAGATCCTTCTTGATACTGTACACATTGATTATTCCACTTCACAGTACAGATGCTAACT